GGATGGCGCGCAAGAACGCCGAGAAGGAGCTGGAGTCCCACTGCAGCTGGGCTGCGGCAGAGGCCCTGCAGAAGTGGCTCCAGCTGACCCACGAGGTGGAGGTCCAGTACTACAACATCAAGAAACAGAATGCGGAGAAGCAGCTGCTGGTGGCCAAGGAAGGGGTGAGAATTTCAGCGTCCCGCCCCGGGTCCTCCCCTCGCGGCCGCGGGGAAACATTCAGGGGATGAAACCTGCGGAGTTGGTTTCTCCGCGCCTTCTTTATTTCCCTTCCCACGCCTTAAATGTGCATTTTTTTAAAGCGCAGCGCAAACCTTCGTCAAGGCATGAGCAGGGGCTGCGAATGGGGCCCTGCAGAGCCGCTGCGGGAGCCCCGGGAAGGCGCAGCGCGTGAATCGCTGCCCGTGCGGCGGCGCTGCGGGCAGGCAGCGAGCAGAAGGGATCTGCACCTTCTGAGCGCGATCCCCGCGCTAGGTGATTTACGTGCACAGGCAACAACATCTCTAACGTATGCGTGCGATCTGTAGCGATGAATCATTTCTGTATTCCCAGTGGCTTAAAATTCCCAGTGCCAGCCAGCAAGCGAGGAGCCGCGGGGAAGCTGTTGTAACACGTCTTTGTCTCCGTGGCCGTACCCAGCAGTCGGAGCTGGCAGCACAGGAAAATTTGGCTGCCTTAATATGTTTTTATGCTGAACACTTCCAACTTTTCCGTGGTTTTCCTTTTGCCGCGCCAGTTCTCCTGTCTGTGCCCTTGGTTTGTGTCCTGTGAGTCTCAAGTTAATGCCACCAGATCTGTGAACCAGAGCGCTGTGCGCGGAGATTTAATTTGCACACACACTGTGCTGCAAAGGGGAAGGCAGAAAACCCAACCCCGAGCCAAAAAGCCTCCCCAAACCAACAGCCCTGGGGAACAGCAGTGCTTTTCCCTAAGAGTTTGCCCGTGGGGATGGCAAGGCAAGGCTCCATGAGAGCCGTGCGCCGTACGAAGAAGCTGGTTCTGTCCCCCCCAACTCTTGGGCAGTCAGAAGGGCCAGGGAGGAGCGAGAAACCCGCAGCCTGCGTGCTCGCTGCTGGCAAATTCCTCACCCACGGCGCTGGGAAGCAGAACATCCTCCAGCAGACCCCGCTGGCGCTGTGAACGCGTGTGCAGACAGCTGCGGGGGCTATTTCGGTCGCAGCCCAGCCAGGAGGTTCTGGTCCTGGAGGAAACTTGAGGTCGTCTTCTTCCTGTGACCTCTTTCTGTTGATGTTCCAGGCTGAAAAAATTAAGAAGAAGCGAAACACCCTGTTTGGAACATTTCACGTTGCTCACAGCTCGTCTCTAGACGACGTTGATCATAAAATCTTAACTGCAAAGTGAGTATCTACTTAATATCTTCCCTTATGTCGTCCCGCCGGTGTCACAGGCGCGGGCTCTCGGTCTCATTGTGCTCACCTCTTCCTCCGTTGGCTTCAGTCACCTGGGCCTGGGCTTGCTCCTTTGCATCAATAACATTGCATCGATAGCCTTTTCATTGGTTTGCGTGAAACAAGACATGGCGTTCTGCAGAGCGATGAGGAGTCCTGTCCAAGGGAGGGTTCGGGAGGCTGCAGTGTTCCTAAGCGGTTATCCCGGGATATTTCAGTCGTTGCTGGGTTTTTTTTTAATTCCTGTACCCCTGAAAATAGGATGCAAGATCTCTTGAGTATCAGGATACAAAGCCGAACCGCCAGCCTCCCGGTTCAGACAATACGTGGTGTCTTTTTCCTTCGTTGCCTACATTCTCCCGTGTTTGAACCTTGCTTCCAGGCAAGCGCTGAGCGAAGTGACGGCTGCGCTGCGGGAGCGCCTGCATCGCTGGCAGCAGATAGAGCTGCTCTGCGGCTTCCAGATCGTCAACAACCCGGGCATCCACACCCTGGCGTCAGCCCTGAACATCGACCCCAGCTGGATGGGCACCCCGCGGCCTAACCCCTCGCACTTCATCATGACAGACGACGTGGACGACTTGGACGAAGAGATCGTGTCTCCCATGTCCATACAATGTACGTACGAGCTGCGCGTGGCGAGTCTGCCTCTGCCGTGCTGCCGCGTCCTGCGACGTGGGGCCGGCCCGGAACAGCCGTTCCAGTGTGTGAGGAGGAATTAAGGTGCCTAAGTTGTTTTTTAAATGACCAAACCCAAACCGTTAGTCGCTAAGGGTCAGGAATGTCCACACGTGCCGGACTGCCAGAGCTGGGGTCGCTCGGAGCCTGTGAATTCCAGCGGAACCAGTAATTAGTGGGTGTTATTAGTAGGTGTTATTAGTCGCCATGTAATCACCTGTTTGCTCTTCTGTTCAAGTCACTGAATTTAAGCATTTACAAAAAAACCCCTGAAGGCACGGTCCAGGCTCCCAAAAGTGAGAAAGGAAAATGAAGTGCATTGTGTCCCCCCCGCCTTGGCTAGAGCGCTCGTTTGGGATATAAAAGGTGGTGAAGACGCCCCATCCTCCTGCACAGCTTTGGACTTGCACCTCCTGCTGTGGGGCACGGGAGGAGCAGTCCGCGTGGCGGTGCTGCCTGCCTGCAAGGACCTGCTCAGCACCGCCTGGAGCAAAGCCTGGCACCCCCGTGCCCCATCTCCTGCGCGGGTGTTGTGGTCACCAGGGTGGGCGCTCACTCCCTTTTGATCGGCGACCGTTCATACACGAAGCGCATCAACGCCTGTAGGGAGGAATGGGGCTGCTGGGGAGGGCGGGTGGATGATCCTGCTCTCCTGAGCCCAGATTCCAGGCACAAGCGGTGCCCCCAGGGCTCAGTGCTGGCCCCAGTTCTGTTCAATGTTGTTAACCATGACCTGGGCGAGGGGATCAAGGGCACCCTCACTAAATTTGCAGAGGACACCGAGCTGGGCGGGAGTGTGGATCTGGTGGGGGGGGAGGGCTCTGCAGAGGGACCTGGCCAGGCTGGATCCATGGGCCCAGCCCAGTTGGGTGGGGGGCAACAAGGCCAAGGGC